CCCATTTGGCTATCGTTAATGAGATCATGAAACAAATGCACATACGTATTTGTGACATGATGTACCTTGTGTGTGTGAAGTTTGAACTTGATCAATCCAGACATGTCTCGGATACGGATCCAGAACTGAATTCTTTAAAACAAAATGGCCGCCAGTCGGCCATTTCGAACCCGATCCAAAAAAAAAAATGACGTGCATCAAGGTCCTATTATGTTTAATGTATGTACCAAATTTGAACAAAATCCGTCCATGCATAACTGAGATCCGGGTCCGGAATGGTGAAAATGTGTGATTTTGATGCATTTTCGGCCTTAAAATGGCCGCTATTCGGCTATCGTTAATCGGATCATGAAAAAAATGCATGTGCATATGTCCCATATAATGTGTGATGTATGAGTGAAGTTTGAACTTAATCGGTCCATGCATGTTCGAGATACAGGTGATCACGGACGCACGGACGGACGGACGGACGGACGGACGCACACAGGGCAAAACATAAGTCCCCGTTTTCGGACTGCGTCCGAACGGGGACTAAAAATGGGCGCGAGAAATTACGCTGAAATAAAATTTTATTTTTATTTCATTTTCGGCTCCTGTTCATTTAGCGGGTTTGCGAAACAATGGATAATAAAAGTCTGGCCTTATTTGACTGACATTTTCATTGCTAATGTTATGAGGGATATAGAGGAATTGTGTAACAACCTATTAAAAACTTGCCATTCGCAAGGGACGCCGGGAACTAGCGAATACAAGATGTTAGGCGAAGACTGCTCTGGGTAGGGACGGGGATACATGAGTTGATGTGGTTACACATGTTACGAGTAGAAGTACTTCCTTATAATTCTATGTGACGAAAACTGTATGCATTGATTTATGCTTAAGGTAGCAGGAAGGGAAATTTTCACTTTTTTCTTGATTTTTCAAAATTTATAAAACGGTTACTTTAGACCTTGATACATCATCCCAGGATTACAAAAGATCTTAAATTAGTGTTTTAAAACGCTAGCAGAAAAGACTACAACTGCTGTTTTGTAGATATTTGCATAATGTTTATCTTTGGAACGGTTTAAATGATAACATCTTATCTGTATACTCTGTTGTTGACGATTCTGATATTATGGGTGATAAGCTTCCCGTCGCAAACAATGCTAATGTCCATTGTCAGCATTATTGTCAGTCGAGACTTCATCGGAGAAACATGGTCATACAGTCCGGGCATACAGTACTCATTTCGCCCAACCTTCCACTTTCACGAGGAAATGTTAATGATTAATTCCAAAAATAACAATACCACTGAATCCACGTCGGTCAGTCTGGCAAAATTTGACATTCATATTCTAAAACAAGTCATTGAAAATGACACAGTCCCCATTAAGTTCTCTTTGTGCTCGTCATATTAAAGCGGAGGGGTTGTCGCGAGCGTGTCCTTGAAACTTGAGTTCCAAGTGGCATATACAAGAGATTGTTTATTTACATCAAAACACATGTTTCGTGTCATAGTAATACGGCCAAAAAAAAAACAGCCGTTATTCAGCCATCTTTGATCTGATTATGAAACACACTGATATGTATGATGTATGTGCCAAATACGAATGAAAATGGTACATAAATTGTGGAAATATAGTAGTAAGGCCAAAAAGTCAGATGGCTGTCAATTGGCCATCCTTGACCAGATTTTGAAACAAATTGTCATGGACATGCATCCTAACATGTATAAAGTACATGTATGTGCTAAATTTGAATGAAAACTGACAGAGCACGTCCAAGATACCGCATAAAAAAACAAAAACAAGACGCCTGCCAGTCGACCATCTTTTATCCAA